TACTGCTTTCCAGAGCGGTCCACAGCAGTATGCTTGCAGAGGTCCACGGGACAGACAGTCCAGGAGGGGGTTTGGGAAGGTTTGGTCTGACTCCGGGCAGGATGCCCACTTTGTCAGGTGTGTTCAGAGTGTTCCAAGAACATCCAGTATGGGGAGGAGAGCCGGATGTACCGTGTGGGACGTCCCCTTTATCCTTAGGGAAGTGGCAGCTATGCAGTGTGTAAGCCTTGGTAACCCAAGTTACTTATCTAGGTTTCTCAGGCTTTTTCTTATTCTAACATTGGAACCACTGACTCAGACTTTTTGGAAAAGCCAGCTTTTCTATTTTCCTTCTCTGACACATCCCTCCCCTGAGGCTACACAGATGGGAAGTGATGACTACCTGTCTGAACTGGGGTAAGGGATGGGAGGATATCAAGGGAGGGGAAGAAACAGAATTCACTGCTTCAGCATGCTGGAATCAGGCGCTGCGTCCCCTTTCTCTATATTAGCTGGCACTCTCTGGAACAGTAACCATAGAAGGAAAGTATTTGAAATTTGTACCAACTTTAAATGGTGACCACGGTTTGGTCAAGCATGAAATTCTCATAGCCATAAACAAAGAAGACTAAAAAGAAAATATTACCCCCAAATTTGAGGTATATTTTATTTCCAGATTCAAACCATACTCCATATCAGCATAAAGCTAGTCTTCACCACCCTACTGTCTTGTATTTCTAGCCTAAGCCATTGGCAAAGGAGGATATTGGCAAAAGTAGATCAGATGACAAATAGAAAATGAAAACAGATGGCAGCATGGGAGATGCTTGCAGTGAGAGGGATTCGCGGGTAGCGAGGTTCAGAGGGGCTGAGAACAGAACTCAGTTTTGTTGGCTAAAAATAACCCTGTTGTGATCTTACTCCGCGAGTGAAGACAGCCATAATGTGTTATCATATGATTTCTTCAGGAAAAAAAAAAAGAAAATACAAAACAGTTCATTCCCTCTCTAAAAATGAGTGTACACACTTGTAATTACAACCTAAATTATATTCAATATAAGATAGCAACTTGATTTCTTAAGTTTAAATTGGATTTTTCATAACCAAGTCAGAGTCAAACATTCTTCCCACTATTTATGATAGGATCTGAGTCCCTTCTTAGAGGGGGATTCATACCAAGTGGCTTTTTCGGGTTTCAGTTATCCTCCAAAATCACAGACGGGGCACTCCTGACGACATACGTCACGATGTTCTGTAAATCTGTCCTGTCCGTTCCTCACTGCCGCTGCCTTAATTCAGACGTGTTTTGCCTGAACTGTTTCAAGAGGATCTAAATACACTCCTGCCTCTTATGTTTCCGCTCTGGCCCATGTGCACATGTGTTGCTATGAAAGATCTTTCTAAACTGTAGAGTGACTGTGGGAACCTCCCACGTCAACCCTTCAGTGACTTTCCTTTCTTTGCAGATTAAAATCCACCTTCTTTTTTTGGCGTGTGTACTGGTTTCCTGGGCTGCTGTGGCAAAGCACCACAACCTGGGGGCTTAAGCAACAGAAACTGCGCACCTCCCAGTTCTGGAGGCTGGAAGGCCACAGGCCCCGTGAGGGCAGGGCTGGGGCGCCTGCCGCCTGCCTCTCTCCGGGCTCCGGGTGGCCTCAGACCCCCTTGGCTTGTGGGTGGT